TCTCATGTATCTGAACCATTAACTGTACTTGTTAAATTGTTTTATAATAATGAAATATTAGATAATATACTTTGTAAAAATGAAATCAAACCATCCTTAACAACATCATCGATTATTGAACTTTTTACAACATTACTTTGTCAACTTTATTCTAAGATAAATCTTGATAATGATTTATTAGAAAATTATACTTGTGTTGTTATATTAAATCTATTTTGGCTTATTTCAAATTATGAAAAATATAGCTATTTAATTGGTGAATGTAAAAAATTAATGGATATTGTAAAGATTGCTGCCAATGATAAACAAAGTTTTATTGATACATTTATGCCACGAACAATGAAAAGTATTCATCAAACAGCTAATGATATTCTAAGAAAATTTAATAATAATAATTAACATATGTGATTTGTATATGACAATAACGAGTTGTTTTTTTATATTTTAATATTTTTTATTTTAATTTGGATAAAAATAAATGATATCATCTTGAGGATGTGTATGTGAGATGAACAGGAGTACTGCGCCCACACCCACACCCTATCCCTATCATCACATAACAACTACACTAAGCACATATTATCACAAGAATACAGATTAGGTTTAAACGTCACGATTTTTATTTATTGCCTCTGCGATCATTACAAAACAAGAAAAGTATTCGCATGAATTTTCACTACCTATTCATCTGTCGTAGACATATATTTAATAATAGTAATTGCAGTCTTCGTCCTCTCTCATTCCATCCACTGAATTCATCAATTCGATGTATGTTGTCCTCTTCGATTTCATTTCCGCCGAGAATCAACGTGGTGATTATCTAGATGAAAATGGGAAGGTAAAGATATAGTATAGATCAAGAGAATGAATAATTACCTTGTTGTATTATGATCTATTAGCCAAATCTTGAGGATGAGCATGGGCGTGTGTGTCGTTGTACACTATTCTAATCACACCCGCATCCTCTTTTCATTTTAAATTTTTATTTGATAACATATATTGGATTTTTGAGTTGAATAAACAGAACTTCAGATAATCAAAAGAAAGAGTAAGTTTCGATAATATTCAATTTAATTTTAGATTCTACAAAGTTTTCTTTCCAGAAAAATAAATTTCTAAATATTTATGTTAATTTGATAGAATAAATTAACTCTTCTTTGGTAGTTTAATTATTCATTGTAATAAAAATTTTAACTTTAGCAGTTGAATTCTGACCGAATAGTAGAAAATGTCGTTGTTTTTAAGAAAGTATTCAACATTTCACAATGATTTACATACAATGCCAGTGTCAGTATAATGTTTTCTTCTTTGTTCTCTTGTATATAGCAATATAGAATATTCTTCGTATGTTATTTGTCAATCACTTCTAACTCATTGTTTTATTTTTCTTCTCTAGTGTTTCCTATTTCTAAAATATATAAAAGAAATAATTAATATCTTAGTTTGACCATAACTATTTGTCATGATGGACAATTTCAAAGGATAATAAAATTATGACTTCAGTTGATTTTGTTGAATGTGAATGTGACATTATTCTGTACAATTCTAATTCTTTTGTTTATGTATTCATTTCTCATAGATTTGATAGATTTTGATGATATTCATATTGTTGAATAGTATTTGACGAAGGTTCATACTGAAGATGAACAACTACACTTTTCTTATCATTTATCTAATCTATGACACAAAACAATAAAGTCAATTGTACAATTCATTTCTGATAACAGACAATGTTGATATATATTCTCTGTCAACTCAATACAAAATAACAAAAACATTTTTTTCTCAAAAAAAAAAATTTATTTTATTCTTCAGGAAGCGTTGTATTTCCTCCATGAAGGCATGATTCTCAATGTATTCTTAACAAAAATAACATTATATTTTGTCTGAAACACTTTGTTTTCACATCCTTCCTACAAAACTCCAATATCATGAACATTTTTTATATTTACAACAAATGATGCCTGACATTTCATATTAGTTTTGAAAAAGGAAACAGATCCATTGTTTTTATTTCATTCAATAGAAGACAAATATCAATAACAATTAATGATTTATAAATAATAATAAATGAAAAAAATGCAGAAGAATATATTTTGTTATTATATTGATATGAACAGAAAAATGAATAAATTTTGGAAATTATCTGCAACATTTTCCCTCAGATAATCAGTAATAAAATAGAAATATTTCTGTATAGTAAAATAAACGAGAAGATGTTTTTAATAGAATCAACAACTATGTTTGACATTATATAGATTATTAACTATCAAGAAATAGATTCTCAAATGGTATCTTTCACTTTATTTTTATGTGTTTGTTTGATTTAAAATAAAGATAATAATGAATGAATGATTCTGATATCCACTGTATATAATCACTTTTATATAAAATATTTGTAAAAAAACATCCTATGTCAATGAAAACAACAAGATCATTTTCTTGTTCCAGATGAGTTTTGAATAAAATATTGTCTACTATAAATGTTGAAATATACGAGATAGCATGTGAAACTAAACTAGGTAGTTAAAATAATATTTAATATGAATATATTTCTACAAAAAAAAAACATTAAAAATCAGCATTTTTTGAAGGAAATGTCAAGTTTCCTGGAAGTAAAGAATGTATTTGAACAAAATATTTTATTTTTTTTCCATTCATTTGAATGACTATAGAATTAAGCTGTAACTACGTTGTTAGATATCCAATTATTGTCAAAAAGATATTGAGGCGATAAAATACAAGGTAGCGCTCATCCAATGGATTCGCTGACCCTTTTCTGAAAGAAAATTTTCTATGATTATTATTAACAAGTAATGCTCGTTCAGAGACTCGCTGAGCTCTTTCTTGAAGAAAACGTATTCTACAATACTATTGAACTTTTTACTTGTACAGTTTGGAAAAACTAGCATCAGATTCGAGTTCCTCAACCTCAATTGCTCTTCGGTCAACCCTTAAAAAAAAACTTTTTTGCAAAAAATGTGGTCCTTTTTGTAAAAAACTGAAAGATGAAAAAATTCCAACAAAACTGACCCCAGATTCGGATTCCCCGACCCCGATTACCTTTGATCAAACTTGACGGAGAAAAATTTTTTTCGTAAAAAAGTGCTCCTTTGTCTAAAAAACTGAAGAATAAAAAATTTGAAAAAACTGACCTCGTATTCGGATTCCCCGAGCCTGATTACCCTTGGTAAATCATTTTCTGATCATCATCGATAAGTTTTCATTGACTTATAAAATGCTGCAATCTGATTGGCTTGGACAAACGGGACAAACGGACAAACTTTAAGCATTTTTATGGAGCATATAACCCTTTCTTTCAGAAAAGGGAACTTTAGCAATAGATTCATATGAGTAGAAATACGAATGAGGATGAATTTGCATCGAAGATAAAACTAGTGCATTCATCTGTCATATGTTTATTCAAAAAGAAAACAATAGATTTCAAAATTTCATAGTATTATACAAGACTTGATCATTGATGTAATTGCTATTTCTTTTGTGTTCACCTTCTCTACATATATATATATATTTAATCATATATTTAAGAAACAAATCTGAAAATTTGTTTCACTAATGAAGAAAACGATTAAACGAAAATAAAAAGGTTTTTTAAGATGTGGAACTTACTGAGGAAAAAATATAATATCTATAATCACTAAACGCTTACATCCGACTGTAATTGTTAGAAAATCTGTACGTATCATATGGAGTATGATTGTACTGACAATCGTGGTTACGATTATCTCTATTCATGAATCATACTCAATAGATTAAAACTGAGTGCAGATCAAGTTTTAATTGTTTTTTTTCTGAATGTTCCATTTCGACATCCAATTGAACTAATGTAAAGACAGTCAATTTCACTTTCATTGCTATTTATCTATTCTGTGATATAATAAAATCCAAGATATTTCTAATCATACATAATATTTAGTTTTCAATTCATGTAGAAGTATCTTGTATAACAGAATATTTTAACGTTAGTTTTTCCTCTGTCAGGAAATGTTGCATACCTTTTGACCAGCACTGATTTTTAGTGTTTTATTAACTAATAATTACACTAAATGTTGTCTCAAACAGTTGCATATTTATAAGAGTTAACAACTCTATCTGATAAGAGTATTTTCAAAATTAACAGTGAAAAAGGAAATGCGCACATTGTTTTTTATTGATATATGGTGTTTTGTTGCAAATGTTTTATATTAACACAATGATATACGTCAGAAAAGAATTGATCACCCAAGAAAGATAGAGAGAGAGAGAGCATGATATATATTTTTTCTATGATTTTAACAGTTTTTCTAGTTCAAATCGGGCTGAAAAACTTTTGAGTGAGAAAACAATATCTAAGTTTGTTTCTGCATTCTTGTTTTTTTTATATCAACAGACCAGTCGGTAAGGAATGTTAGATATTACTCAAAATATAGATTTCAATTAATAGTTAAGAGTCTTTGTAATTGCATTATTAATGTTCGAAAATATATAAAAGACAAATTTTTTTAAATATATTTAAGATTATAAGAGCATTGAGCTTTTGACAAGATATCAACAATGAACAGCAACAACAGAGTCGATGTTTATGATGTAATTTATCGAGAAAACAAAAACCATAAAATGTAATCTTTGTCTTTTTTTGATTATTTTAGCCCGCAACAGTTAACTCGAATGCAACGCAACCAATAACATTGTATGTATATTATAAATTATAGAAAATGATAAAAGAGGTCAATTATTCTAGATGTGAATGTTTTCGAAAAAGGAAATTCACATGGATCGTATTGATTATTATTATTATTCTTGCTTTGATTACAACGATTTCAGTTGTTGTGCTCAAAACAAAAGAGATCAACAGCGAAAAAACATCAACAACGGAAGAAAGAACAACTGAAACAACAGAACAAATGGAAACAACAACAGGTAGTCAAAATGCAATAATTATTTATTTTGAGATTAATATAAGATGAACTATTTCAACTGACAGAAGTAGAACTGCATTGTTTATTATAAGAGCTTATGCATCATATTTCTAAGCAACAATATCTTAAGTTTTTTCAAATACGCAATGAAATTTTCAGCACATAGAAAACTATTTCTGAAGAGCTGATCGTTGAACTAAAAAGAAAACAAATAATGCGATTATTGATCAACTTTCGAAAAACATTGTTCGTTTTGTCTCAGTAGGAATGTGTGTTGTTCGTCACTAGTGAAATTACATATGCATTTGTTTCATTGGATTGAATGTAACATGAATACTTATTTGTATTCATTGAAAACAATACAAAGTTTAAGTTCACCAGGATTGGGATCGATGCGTACCTTTCAAAAAAAGAATGAGTAAATAACTATTTGACGTTGCCAACAGAGATGAGAAATCTCTTATTGAATAGAATTAAATG